TTTTTTTTTTTTTTTTTTTTTTTTTTATCATTGTTTAATTAATTTTGGTTAAAGTTAATTTTTGACAAAGTTAAAATAACTAAAATTGTTCCTTTATTTATTTTAAATTATGGATTTTAATGGACTTAACATTGAAGGGTCGAAGCTTCAAAGATCAAGTTCAACTCCGCTCTATTTCTTTACTCTTTCTCTAGTTTTTCTATCTTACCCCCGAACGCCGAACGGGTTTTCTAGCAAATTTTTGATGCAATTGTTTTTGATGATCAACCAAACTTGACATATATGGGGATTAGGGATAAACCGAAACTAAATATTCAAGTATTTTTTTTTTAGTTGGATTGATTTGTCCATCATACTTGCACGTACATCATTAACCAATCCAATGAGATTTGAGAGCGGCAGCTGCTAATAGTGAAGATTGATGCATTTCAGTTAAAAGTGAGATTGATGCATTTCAGTTAAAAAAAAACATATAGTAAAACCTTGGGTAAAAATGGTAAAAATAGTAGTTAGTGCAATTATTAAGTTTACACTTAAATGATGGAGAAACCCATTAATGATTTGTATACATCACTTAAGGGTAAATGCATCAAATAAATCAAACGAGTAACTAATAATCCTGATATACAGAGAAAAGTAGCTATCATGCAAATTAATCTAGACCATGTTTGATCAATGAGTCTCTTGAGCTCATTTTTTTAAATTATTTGTTTTAAAAACTAAATTATTATTTTTTAAATGGCCAAGATTGCAAATTTCTGGTCAAATAAATTATGGAAAGAAAAATTGATATGAAACCAAAATTAAAATTTAAAGTGAAAATTGATAGGATTATTCCCCATCGTTATTGAGAGGAAATAGTTGATTTCCAACAACAAAGCTTCTATGAATTGGGTGCCCCACTGATCCCCGAGCTTCCGTCTGATTCAGCAATGGCGGAAATCTCAGAACCTTCGAATCCGCCACTTGAACAGTCCGCTTTCGACCCCAGTACCATGCGGAAAACTAAGCCTGGCTTCAAGCGTCTAATTCTTACCATCTCCGTTTTCTCCTCTTTCCTCTTAGGTCCGCTTTCTCTCTCTCTGTTCGAGCAGATGTGATTGACTATCTCATGGAGTTTATGATTCATTGGTTGTTTTTTTTTTTCTTTTGCAGGTCTTCCATTTCTATGGAAATCCGTCGAAATCTACCGCGCGCCACTTCCGTTTATGGACATAGATGCCCTCTCTTCTCAATTAGAATCCACACCATTGCAATTTCCTTGTAGTTTCCGGGTCATTTATGTTGGATTTGATTCCATTGCCCCTCGAGTCTCAGCCGAGCAGCTAAAATCGTCTATCCTCGATGAGATTACTGAATTGTCTTCTAAATCTTCACTTTGTGGCAGTTGCAGCAACAACTACGATGTCTCTGTGGTTATTGAATCGGGTTCTGATTGCTCACAGACACGCACTGACGCATCCTCGTGTTCGTGGCGGTGTGGAGCTCTCAGTGCTTCTGATTTTGCTGTTTCTTTGGAAAATGGCAATGATAGTGCCGATGATTTCTTGGAGGTTGCTCTGGGAGGTTGTTCGAGGTCAGCTTCTGGTGGGAGAGGTTATAGTGTAGTGGTGATGAACAGGGACGAGAATGTGGAGGTCACCATCGGAAAATATCGCCATGCTTGGATTGTTGGGAGGATTTCAGAGATGGAAGCAATACCGAAAGTAGCGGAAATTTTTGTGAAGTTGTTTGGTAATGGTGGAAGGGAGGAGGGATTAATTCCTGGCGAGTTCATGCCTGTTGGTGCTGATGGAAAGATTTTTCTTTCTTTTAATTTGTTGAATGCAGATCCAGATGATTGGATATATGACTGGTATGTTGCTCTCTTTACTACCTTCTTGCAGTATCAGATTGAAGTTACTCTTTAGGCCTGTTATGGTTATGGTTATGGTTATGGTTTTTGGAATGGCTTCAGTGTTGAATAGTAACTCTGATTAGATTGTAAGAATTTTGCCAATTTTTGCTCACGGTTCTTGAGGAACATTTCAGATCGCTTTAGCGACGTCTATGCAGATTGCAACTTGATTCTGTGTTAAACCTGAGAAAACTGTAGCTTGTGTAATGATTTTGAATTGACTTCTTGATGATTACAGTCCATTCCAACTTAGAAGTTTTAATGGTAAATGTGCGATCCCACGTTGATTGGAGAGGGGAACGAAGCATTCTTTATAAGGGTGTGGAAACCTCTCCTAGCAAACACGTTTTAAAAACCTTGAGAGGAACCCCAAAAAGGAAAATTCAAAGAGGATATATTTGCTAGCGGTGGGGTTGGACCGTAAGAGTAAAAAAGCTCTCCAATTAGTTAAGACAAGAAAAAGCTATTTAGTTTGGGCAGGTAGAGAAACACGAAGATGCATACACTCTCAAACCTCACCAATCTCCCCTCCCAAACTCTTAAAGTTATTTTTAGTCTCAACTTATAAAAATTCTAATATCGGAGACTTAATTGATCTAATATCAGAGACTGCTTAAGATATTTATAATTTCTGCCATTAACAATAACATACTGAATTATTCTAAACTTTTGAACATTGTTTTTGCAGTCTATCTATTATGATTCTCTGTTGTTTTGTAGGGACTTTCAGACAGTAGATGAAGTTCTATTGAAACCTTTAATCAAGGAATTAGCACCTGTAGCAAATGTCTCGGTCGAGAGTCAGGTGTGATGTTTCCCATTGAATGCTTTATAGTCACTTCATTTACTCTCTTTTTTTTTTTCAGTTCATTCATTGTCTTCCAGAAACCTTGAAAATACATTTAAAGGCATTCAACTAATCCAATTGCTGATCACTGACCAGGTTTTATATCATACACCAACTTCCTCCTTTTCTTACTGGGATGACGACCAGGAGAGCTACATCTTCAATACTAAAGATCTTCCCTTTTTTGTACGTATATTCTTTAAATTTATAATTTTATGAATTCCTAGATACTTGTAGGTGACTTAATCCCTCCTGCTACCAGGGTCAACATTTTAGTTATCATCTGTCTCTATTTTGTTTACTTGCTTTGTCTGCTTCATACACTACACACGGTTAGGCCATTTGTTCACACTTCATCCAGTTAAGAGTTCTAGGACTTTGGTCTAATTCTACTTTTGATTTAATTTTTATTTTTTTAACATATTGTCTTATTTCTTAAAATCTAATAGGTGAATTCAAACGAGTGGCATTTGGATACTTCTATTGCAGCAGGCGGGAGGTCAAAGATATTGCATTTTGTGATGTACAATCTGTAACTCATATCATTCTTCTTCTTTTTTTAAATAAAATTTTTAAGAAATTTTAGACTCTAGTAAGAGATGTTGAGAAGGTTCACCATCCCTCGAGTCTGCACTATTATATAAACATTACTTGTCTGATAACTTGGAAACCAATTAGTTTTCTTTTTGGCCTCTGGTAATCAAGTATTTGTTAGAATGCTAGCGAGGCGTTGGATAAAGATTGGGATGTCTCTCTAAGTAGTTATTTATGATTTCAACTTGTTTAGAGCGTTTTGTGTTGATTGTAACTTAGTTACTTTAAATGAGTTGGAGGAAGTTTAGTGGGAAAGTAGGTTGTATTTTCTGTCAGTAGCACTTGAGGGAAACAATAGCCCTATCAAATTGGCTATCAATGACTATGATAAGAATGCCTTTAAGGTGGAATTAGGGCATATTAATAATTAGACGGGGAGTTTTGCTATAGTATTTGGTTATAAATAGAGGAAGTGGTAAAGGAAGAAATTAGAGAATTGTTTCGACGATTGTAGGCTTGAGTTGGTATACTTGAGGGACGGTCCATTCTTGTAATTGCTTTGAGATTTTGTTCGTGGGCCTGTTTTTTGTATGCTCTGGTATACTCTTTCATTTCTCTTAATGAAAGCTCGGTTTCTTATTAAAAAAAAAAGTTTAATCAAGAGAGGGAGATTCCAGGTACCTCAAATACTTGGGTTATCTTGTAGTTTTTATCTCTTCTAATTCTGTTTAGGTTCTATCAGACTAGTTTGTAATTTTCTTCTTGAAGGCAATTTCTATCTTGCGAAGATATATTTCATTTTCATTTAGTGATACAGGTTATTGTTGGTTTGAATAGTTGAAGGAATATATTAGTGGCTTCAATATTTTACAAATAAAAATCAATTAAGGATAATCTATGTTATTTTTTTGCATCTTATGGCATATTTGATTAACTTGTAAGTAGCTTGGACGTACTTTCAATTTATGTGAGTTTTGTGGTAAAAAATTGAAGTTCTGTTTCTGCCCATTATTATTGGTACATCCTAATCAAGTTTTGTTTCATTGTTAATTTTCTTTTTGTCAGATATATACCATCAGCAAGGGAGTGCCCCCTTCTTTTACAGCTTCCCGATGGCCAGATTTCAGAAACAAATGGGTTTATATCTCCTGTATGACAATATTTTTCACGTTTAAGTATATATGATTTCCACCGTTGAACTTTTCAAATTTAAGTACAAACGATGGCATCTTGCAGATGTGGGGAGGCGTAATTGTTTGGAACCCTAAAGGCTGCCTAGACCGTAAAAGCAAGCAACACCATAGGCAAATGATTTCTTATCCAGTAAGATGTTGATATTATGTTACAAACTTTTGGTATTCTATCTAATTTTCTGTTGATTGATCATTCATATTCTGGAACAGGAGTTGGAGAAAATTGTTGAAGTGTTCCTGGGGCAGTTTCGGCAGCTTTTTGGCCTGAAGTCCGATCCTCAACATGTTGGTCTATCGGGCACATTCAATATTTTAACTAGCGAGAAAGGCTTTACAAAATGGTGAGCAAAAGATCTGTTTAGTCACCTTTTAAGTTCTAATAAGTTTAGATTCAATCCTTGCCATCAAAACTGTTGATGAAAAGGCGACTTATTTACTTCTGTTACTACTGTAAAACTTCTAAATTTTAAGGACCAGTTTGAAAACAAGGGTGAACTTAGGGATCTGAATTTGTCAGCTATTATCTCAATAATTGCATTATTCGGGCCCTTGATGGTGATATTCTGATATCATATTTTTGTTGCAAACTAACTATATTTTGTTATCAGAGCTCAAGTTTTTCCAATGCACACAAACTGATCTCTTGAAACTTTTTTGAATTTTTTAGCCTTGCATAACAAATGAAATAATATTGTCCATATATATGTAGTCCACAATATTTTTTTATGTCAAATGAAGCCATTGATATGTTTGATCCATCTGTAGGGAAATTGATTTTCTGTCGAGGCAGCATTCATGTTTTAATCTTCATTCTTGTGCTTCATCCCTTGGATCTCTTTCCAGATTGGTACGTATTGAATTCTTGGTTTAGTTCAAAGTCGGATCTATTGGCTAATGGGAAAATGGTTATTGGTTCCTTTCTTGGTCAAGTTTTGAGTTACTTTATTGTGCAGGTTCAATCATTGCCGAGAATGATTATCCTGGATGAGATTGGAAAACAGGTACTGCTATATCTTGTTTGGCAATCTTTTCAACGTTTCTCTTTTCTAGATTTATTGGTTTACTTGTGCTCAATTCTTTTACTTATCTCTTAGAGATTGGGCTTTCTATGTCATTGTCCAAATTTTTGTTCTGTTGGTAGTCTGAGCGACAACCTTCCTGAACGTTTCCTGAAATCACTTTCTGAAATGCTTTTCTAGTAGTGTGATAGAGTCCAAACAGAACCAAAATGATATTTAAATAGAGAAGGTAAAGATCTACAAGATAAACCAAGTAATTTGAGGAACTTGGACCCTCCCTCTCTTGAGATCACTCAAGTGCTAAACCACCAACGAAATCAAGGTCCTCCTTTTTCACTTCCTCTATTTATAACCAAATATCCCTCATGGCTATCTCCCCCAGCTGGTGCGTTTGTGTAAGGGTGGTAATGAATCTCAGAGCCACATTTTCCTCCTGTGCCCATTTGCTCGGCTTTTTTGGGACAGAATTCAATGGCCTCCACGTTTTCCTCCACAGTTATTTTAGACATGGTTCTTTTTATTCTACTTGCAGTGTTTCGTGGTCTAACATGAGGTTTTTATCCCTACTTGTCTCAATCAGGTAAAATATTCTCTCAAGGCTGCAAACTTGGCCCAAAGAAATGCCTCCCTGGGAGTTTTTGATGCTGCAGCCAGTATGATCCTTCTCTAAACTCTCTGACATTTAGTATCTGAAGCTCGAATAGAATTTTTTAACTGTCATTCTGATGGAATTAATTAAAATCCTGAACTGAGTTCCTCTTCTTTATCAGTCTCTTCCAGGCAAGCAAGATCACTGGCAGAAGATGCGTTCTTTCACCCATCAATAATGTCAGTCAGCTATTTTTCATTTGAGCACTGCTTTGCTGTCTACTCGGTGAGATCTTCACTGCCTATGCACTTATGTTTATAATATATTTGAATCTATGATTCATGTTAGGTTAAATTATGAATTTAGACTATCTAGTTTGAGCATCATGTTGTCGTTGTTTCTGAACTTAATTTTTTTTAATTACGTTGCTAAACTTCAGGTTATACTTTCTATTTAATCTCTAGACTCTATACTATGGGAATGTTGACATGATAATTCAACCAAAATTTGTATAATAGTCTAAATGGTATGAACTAAGTAGAAGTATAGGTTAAAGTTTAAGGATGTATTTAAACTTTTCAGAGTTCTATATGTTATAGATATAATGCTTGATTACATGGACACAATTTATAATTAATTAATCATCTTGGTATTGGTTGGGAGAAATTAAATTTCTCAGCAGGCTATTAACTGCTTTAATTTGCTCAAGTAAAATATACTTCACAATAGACTGCAATGTAAAAAGCTATATGTATACTTTCATGAATACTACATTTGTGCCGTTTAACCACAGGAATTGAACATTATTATTGATTTAGAAGACGTAAAATTCATAAAAATGAAGCGATATTTTGGAACCCCGTTGTTATGATGCCTGCTTTTCTTTGGACAGCCTTTCTTCTTGCCAGTTGCTTTGCATGTAATTTTGGCTGCACTGAGAGAATGGAAAAGATACAAGCAAGAACACAAGAAGTATTTGGCTTTTTTGGCCAAACCAAAGCAAAGCTGAGAGCTTAATCATAGTGAATTTGTGTTTGCTTAATCGGTTCTTACATTTTTCCTTGTAACTTAAGGAAGGCTTGTCAAGTTTAGAGGTAAACAAGTAGACATTGATAATATTTGTGGCGTATCTCCAATAACATTCATAGTTTTTATGTCTAACACGAAGGTTGATATTGTAAAAATCTTTGTTATTTATCTTAGTATCAGAATTTTGTTGAAAGAAATCCATTGTTGACAATGGTTCTCAGGGTCTCAACTTCAAGGTATTCTAATTCATGAATTTGTCACAGTAATATAGAATGTTGCTTAGATTTTAAAAGTTTTGTGTGAGATCTCACAGGGGAAGAGAACGAAGCATTCTTTATAAGGGTGTAGGAATCTCTCTTTAGCAGGCGCGTTTTAAAACTTTGAATGGAAGCTCGAAAAGGGACTCTAGAAACGGTTTTAAAAGTTTTGAGGAGAAGCTCAAAGGGAAAAGCTCATAGAAGACAATATTTGCTAGCGGAGATCTTGGACTATTACAGGTTCATTTTTATCCTTCCTTTGCATGAGCTAACCGATTTGATTTTCTCTACTTTTATCCGTTGAAATGGTTGGCTGTTTGGATACATCATAATCTAATGTCTTCCATTTTTAGGTAAGATTTATTTTGGAATCCATTAATACACAAGTTCTTAATGGTTAAAGGTGAGACATAGAAGTTTAGATCTAGAGATACGAGGTGAGGTGATCCAAGTCTAATATAGACTAGGCAAGCTAACATGGGTCCTAGCAAGTCACAAATGTAAATTCTGGTTATTTCGAAACGAACTTTACTAACATGGTTGTCACTTGATGAGCTACTTACCTATTAATTCATAATTGTAAATTATTTTGATTGATTCTATTTATATATAAAGGTCACGGGAAGTCACAAATGTAAATTCTAGTTATTTCTAAATTACACTGAGCTCTAGACTCGAATTGACTTTAGTTTGGACGTAGATTAGTTGTTGTATCTTATATTTTGTCTCTGCTTTCAATATTTGTAACTCACCTTTTAATTAAACTAACATTTATAAAACTAAATAACTCATTATTTGTGAGATCCCACATCAGTTGGGAAGGGAAATAAAACATCCTTTATAAGAGTGAAAACCTCTCCTTATCAAACACGCATTGGTATCTGTTAGTGGAGGTATGTCAGCAGCGAGGACACTGGCTTCCAAGGGGATGGATTGTGAGATTCCATATTGGTATCAGTTGGAAAGGATAACAAAGCATCCCCTATAAGTGCATGGAAACCTTTCCCTAGCAGATCATGGCAAGTCGTTGTGAAATAACTCCGATGAAAAGAAAAAAGAAGGCGTTAAGAAACCCTCACCCTCCTGACCCAACCCTAGACACTCTAAGATCCTTTTACAAATCTCTTGGTCCCAGTGGAAGAAAGGAAAAAAATTCCACGTTCTTCCTTTTTCTTTTAGAAAGGGAGGATTTGAGCTTTTTCCAGACCTTCGAGAAAAGCATGAAAAAAAAGACTCGAATGGTATAAGTGAAATTATGTGTCCGTTTTTATGAAACATACAAGTGAAACAAAATATGGGGAAGATATTGTGGGGGAAAGAGTCATATTCAAGAACGGAGGTTTTAATTAAATGCCCTTTAGATTTTCAATTGAAAGCCAAGTCAATGTTACTCGGTCCACGCCGAGCCGAGCAAACGGAGTAATAGAGAACGGCACAAAGGCGTGGAAGTAGTAAAAACGGGGATGTGTCAATATCAAACCCGGCGACCGGGTAAAAGCCACGTGGGGGGCTTTAATAACAGAAGTAACGATGACTTTTCAAATGCTACGTAGAAAGGCAGAGAGAAAGAAAGAATATTAGTCAAACCTCCCCAATGCCGCCAATCCATGGCCGATCATCCTCCCTCTCTATAAACCCCAAATTCTCTCTCTACAAACCCCCAAATTCTCTCTCTAAAAACCCTTCTGAGAAATTCTTGATTCAACCACAAAATCAATCCCCGAACCCCCACATCTTCGTCTTTCCCATCCCTCTGTTCTTCTTCCATGGCGGTGAGCTATTCTATTTCTTCTTCTTGTTCTTGATTTTGCGGTTTCTGTTTGTTTGGTTGCTGAGAAAATGAAGAGGGAAAAGAAAATTAGAAAGTTTCTGTGATTTGATATTGTGGGTATTAACTTAAATCTGGAAATTATGTGCGATGCGATGGAGTTTCTCTGTTCTTCGATCTCACCTGTTGACTTTTATCAAACTTTCTTGATGATTCATTCAAAGTTTGTGTAGTTTTGATTTGTAAAATGTGTTTTGTTGGAACAGCAGCGGTCACATGTTCCAGCTTTTGGGAACTGGGAAAGTGAAGGGAATGTTCCATACACAGTGTTCTTCGACAAGGCCAGAAAGGGCAGAGGCGGCGGACCAATCAGAAACCCCAACGATCCTGAGGAATATCCAGAAATGTTCGCCGCCGACAACACACCCAAAAAGGACGATTCTCCAGCTCCGGCGCCGATACCCACGACCCACGAGAGGAGGCAGAGCCGTGAATACGGCAGCTCCCCTGCCCACCGTGAAAATCCCAGCCGAAAACAGAGTGGAACAGAGTATAGCATCGACCGCTCGCCTCTCCACCGCCAGGCAAAGCCGTCGGGAAGAGAGAGCCCAATGGTGGAGAACAAGGGGTCCGATGGTGGCTATGGAAATCGCGGGAAATCTAGAACGAAGCCGCTTCAGGCGGAAGGGACGGCGGTGCCGAAATTTGGGTCGTGGGATGTGAACAATCCGGCGTCGGCGGACGGTTTTACTCACATATTTGGTGAAGTTCGGAAGGAGAAGTTGGGGCCGGGAACGCCGCCGCGGCAGCCGCATTCTTCTTCGCCGTACAACAATCTTAAAAACCCAAAAGCCGACAACAGCGCCAAGGTATTTAATTAACCTTTTTTTTTTTTTTTTTGTAAATTATAAAAACAAAGTAAAATAAAAAATTGAAAATTAAATTTTTTTCTTCCTAATTTTTGGTGGCAGGGATGTTGCTGCTTTCCATGGCTAAGTAAATAAGTTTGAACTGTGTGGGCTTTTACTGTGCGGACTGGGCTCTGTTTATGAACTATATGGGCTTTTACTGTGGGCTCTGTTTATGAACTGTGTGGGCTTTTACTGTGAAGATTGGGCTCGTTTATGAACTGTGGGCTTTTACTATGGGCTCATTTATAGACTGTGTGGGCTTTTACTGTGCAGACTGGGCTCTGTTTATGAACTGTGGGCTTTTTTGTAGTTATTTTTATATAAAATTTTCCTTTTTCTTTTTTTCTTTTTTGGCTCATGTAAGCAAATATAAGTTTCAATTTTTTTTTAAAAAAAAATACACTTATTATTATTATTATTATACTCATTTGCAACTATTATTGCCTTTTCCATGTAAGAAATGTAGTAATATATCAATTTAAATTAATTAAGGTTAACATATAAATTATATAATAGTATAAAATAATAATTATACAAAATATGATAATTAATTAATTGACAATAGTGCTTCAAAATTGAATTTCTAAATTTCCTCCAAAATGCACATTAAAAATATAGAATAAAACTCTAATGTTGTGAAATTAATTATTTTTTAAAATTGCAATTGTGTAAAAAACAAAAGATTTTAAAATATCCGGTTCGAACTTTACCAAGAATGACGATCCCATCGCCACCGTCCAATTATTATTAAAATGAGAACGAATGTAGAGGAACATTTCTCCTCCGAACTTTACCAAGAATGAGGATCCCATCGCCACCGTCCAATTATTATTAAAATGAGAACGAATGTAGAGGAACATTTCTCTTCCGAACTTTACCAAGAATGAGGATCCCATCGCCACCGTCCATTGATTGTTAAAATGAGAACGAATGTAGAGGAACATTTCTCCTCCTGTTCTTCATTTCAATGTTAAGCGCCAAATTTTAGCGGTAGCCGAAAAAAATTTAAAAACATTTTGATTTAGAAAGACAAGGCCGAAGCTTCGATCTTTTGAAACTTTCGAACCATTTCTAAATCTCAATCTTCAAATTCCCTCTCTTCAAATCCCTCTCCTTTTCTCTCTTCCACTTTCAAGTGTATTTCAATTTCATCTTCCAATCTCTTCAAGAAGCTGATTCGGTTAGTATTTGATGCGATTTTGATATTGTTGTCTGGATTTTGTAGTTCTGCAGTTCAATTTTGTTTCTGTTTGTTTCTGGATGTTCGATTGAAGGGATTATGGTGAGGGAACAACGAGTTGAATCGTTTTATGCTAAACTTCGTGAATCTGTGACGGCTTCTTCTTTGTCTCCTCTCCTTATTTTTCCTTCCACTTCTGATGTTGACTCGCTCTGTGCCTTGAAAATTATTTTTCAAGTTCTTGAATCTGATTCGATTCGATACGCTTGTTATCCCGTGTCTTCTTTTCAAGAAATTCATAAATATGCTGGTCCTAGTTTGAGTTCGTCGTCTGCCGATCCGATTTCGATCCTTTTGATTAACTGGGGATGTCATCGAGATCTTAGGAAGGTTTTGAGTTTAGGTCCGGCTGCTCATGTGTTTGTTGTTGATAGTCATCGTCCAATTCATCTTCATAATCTGAGCGATCAGAATGAGCAAGTGGTTGTTCTTTACACGAAAGACGATGAGCTCCAGGCTGACTTAGCTTATGATTTCGATGTCTCTGCATTGGCGAATGCGAGCGATTTGAACAGCGATGATGAGATTGATGAGGAATTGGATAGTGACGATGATAACGATAGCGAAAACGAAGAAGAAGATCGAGGCGGATCGAGGAAACGGAGGAGAGTTGATAAGGAAAATGAGGATGATCCTGTTCAGATTTTCAGGAAATTGAAAAGAGGATACTATTATATGGGTACCTTCCATGGTAGGCCTTCAGGGTGTTTGATGTATGATCTGTCTCATTCATTGAGGAAGAACACAAACGAATTACTATGGCTGGCTTGTGTGTCGTTAACTGATCAGTTTGTTCATGAAAGATTAACGGATGAGAGGTACCAAGCTGGGGTTATGGAGCTTGAACAACACATAAACAGTTCAGGGAACTTGAATGCTGTAAACTCTGTTACACTCAAGGATGGCACCAAGATCCGAGCTCCTGAGGCATCAAGAATCACTTATGATGATGAGCCAAGATTAATGCTGTTGCAGGAGTGGAGCTTGTTTGATTCAATGCTGTGTTCTTCATACATTGCTACCAAGTTAAAGACATGGAGTGACAATGGAATGAAGAAGCTGAAATTGCTTCTAGCACGCATGGGGTTTGCACTTGTGGATTGCCAACAAAAGTTCCAATACATGAATCTCGAAGTGAAACGAAAAATGAAGGACGAATTCGAGCGATACCTACCCGAATACGGCCTAAACGATTTCTACTACAGAAGTTTCTTGAGGTTACATGGTTACAGCTCAAAAGTGTCAGCAGCAGATGTGGTATATGGGGTCACTGCATTGCTTGAATCCTTTGTGAAATCAGATGGGTCAAGTGCTTCCAAGAAGTTTGGAGTGGCTTATGATGCATTGTCATTGAGCAATCTTGACAAGCTCAAAGATGGAATGCAGCAGGCGATCAAGGTCCAGAGGTCAGTTCTTAGACAGGGGAGCTCTGCAATTACAAAGAGTGGATGTATAAGAAGTGGGAGGAAGTTTCGTTGGGTGAAGCTTGAAGATTCTGTGGACACCAAATTTCTGGGCTATCCTCAAGCACTCACCAAGTTCTGCTACTTCATAATGGATGCTTTGCGAGAGAAAGGAGCAAGAATGAAGCCATTGCTATGTGCTTGTGTGTCTCAAGAGCCGAACAAAGTATTGATCGTTGGTGTTTGCGGGAAGCCTCGGCTTGGGGCGTCTCGAGGCAATGCATTTGGGAGAGCGTTTCGAAACGCTGTGGAGGAAATCAGCGCGGAGTTTTTCCACGAGATGTTTGAATCCTCGTGGATTCTTCTTGATGCAACTTCAGTTAACTCTTTCATGGTCAGATTGACTGAGAAGCTCTAACGTATGTTGTTGTTTATTTCCATTTCATGGTCAGATTGAGATGAATTATGATGACCCCCACATCTTAACATCAATTGTAGTTACACAAGTTAGCCTTTATGTAACTTAACTTCATCTTTGCAAGGTTATTGCACTTTAGTTTTGCATGGAGACTTCGTTCTAACATGATTTTCCGTTCCGTTCCTATTGATGCCAACTATAGAGCTTGTACTCAAATAAAAAAAAGGGGGCATCGGAATGACTTGACTTTAACTCATTAGATTCAGTAGTAGATTTTAGAATTTTTCTAAATTGGCTTGGTTCCACTACCGAGAACAAATGATGGAAAGATTTTGGAATGCACACATCCCAAACATTTCACTCGAGAGATTGGCCAAATTAGTGGGATAGAATTTGGCTCTGTTTCAACCTCGTGAGAAATGATTGTACCCGTGGCAAAAGAGATCTCAATCTCAAGAGGTACCATATCATATGTATAATGAAAACGGACATGACACAGCAAGTTGCTAGACACATCATAATGGAGATATTTCGGTTGGTTCGTACCGAGAAAAATTAATGGTTTAAACATTCATAGTCTCAGAAAGGCTGCAGATTCTTGGTTCTTGTAGCCTGCTAACAAATAAATTCCACATCACAAGACAAAAAGAGACTTTTTCAAGGGGGGAAGAAAAATAAGTTATAATGTGTTTGAGATATTGTTCTATCAAAATCACATACATTCAACTTGCTGACTCTATTAGACTGATTCTAGACTGACTCCACACTCAACACTTACTACAGTGTACCAACAGTTGACAAGAACTCAAAAGCAAAATTTGAGAGGAAAATGATAGTGTTAGTGGAAAAAAGAAAGCAAAAATGGGATCCCAAATACAACATCATATGGATAAGAACAGAACATTACCCTCATCTCTGTTGTTTCTTTCTCCACTGGGTGCGCCCTCGGTTGATTTCGAGTCCGTCGCTTGATAATCTTAGTAGATGAAGAAACTGACGGTCATCTTGTTTGTCACTGGAAATGTAACCATTTGTTCCATTGAGCTCTGTAACTGTTTTGCTGCCGTTCTCGACTTCCTCCACGCTCGTAAGAGAATCCACTACATCGTCTTGTTGGCATTCTCGTCTGTAGTCTAACGTGATTGTCTGAAGTTCATGGCTGTTGATGATTTCTTGAGGCATACTCTGTCATAGAGTCATCATCATATATCATGATATTATTAAGTCACTATGGAATCTCATGAATCAAATCAACTATTAAGCAGATAGACTATGATATGAAATCGTGTTGTGGTCTCCATGTTATGTCGTATCTATGTCGTTTACAGATATGTCTGTGCTAGTTCGCTATTTTCTTAAGACAATTTAAAAAACTGTCCTAATAAGGATTGTGTAACCTTATGTTCTATCACCATAAAGAAAACCATTACTCCTGACCATTGCAGTATTCTAAGGAATTCTAAAGAGAAGGATCAGAACTTTTGGGGGATTATTTTTGCACTGCAGCAGAAAAGAAAAAGAAATCGAGAAAACAGGAACGAGTGTACGAACCTCCAGAACCCATCCAATGTAGGTGACGTTATTGACATGCTGATTCATGTCCAAATCTGCTCTCCTAGGCTGAAATAAAAATCACTTTCAAAACCTGGAAGAATGGTAAAAGTTTGAACCTAATATCTTTACAATCTTACCATTAGTCCAATTCTGGAATAGTGACCAGGGTCTTCCAGTTTCGGAATTTTCTTCAGGCTACTACTATTCTCCTCAGGAAAAGCTAGCCTGGACAAAAGCAATAGAAAGCCGATTATCATACAAGTGATTTTCTTTAGAAGGGTTTTCCATAGAAAGTTTGTCAATTTTAGGATAAAAGACAGTAATTACTAATTAGTACTAGGCTAACATGCATTTAACTCCATTCTAATTAACCTGACCATGTCATGTTGCAAGACAGACTTGCATGGCAATTTTTACTGAACGATAGTATTGGAGGAGAAAGGCACCTACCTGAGCTCTTGTGGACAATAAACCAAATATTCATCACGAACATCATCGCTAACTTTCTGAAGCCGTCTAGTGTCTTGGTTCATCATCACCCACTTACTAAAAACATTAACAAGAAAGCCATCAGGTAGAATACAAACAACGTCCAGTAATGCACAAAATGACAGTACGAAAAAGAACAAGAATGAGCATAGTTGTACTTGAGGACAAGCAGAATAGTATTGGTGACACAAAAAAGTGCAATTCTCCGGAAGAGGTAATTTAAGGGTAAATATGAATAAGAGAGTTGGACTTTCAGCTTTCCTCAGCTGTAAAAATTGAGATTGTAAATGTAGGCTTGAGATAAAATTTTATTGTTCATTTTCAGGGCAAAATCATCTCTAGAAAGATGAATTCGGAGGAGATATTGTGAAAGTTGATTAAAAAATAGAACTTTGAAAGACAAAAGACACTTCAGAATTGATGATTTACACTCCACTACTCATTATATGAGTTTCTTATCAGATTAAAGTGTTATCTAAGTGTTAAGATGTAGCTCTTTAGGAAGGGTTTTGGATGACCAAAGGCTTGTGAAGATACGTCTTAGCTTGTCAAAAATACTTGTAGGATAGTAGAACCTAAATAGGCAGCCACCATGGATTAGACTGAGTGCCCATATAGTCTACTGTCTTCTTTCAACTGTACAATGTTGATGTTGTAAATATAGGCCAAAAGTATCCTCCTCTAAATTCAGTCAATTCTATCGACGTTCGAACACTTCGACAAGATTTATATTTTTTCATTTTCAGGACAAAATTATCTCTATAGAGAAGAATCTGGAGCCAAAATGATGGAAGTTCGATCGGACAATAAAATGTTGAAAGACAGGGAACAAAAAGTTGGGGATAGGGTGTAAGATCAGGCTTTCGGCATGTTTCTTCCCAAGAATCCTGTAATTATTTTATTCTTGTAAAATTACAAATTTAGTCTCTAAAATTTGATGCCACTTAGTCCTTGAAATTTACACAGTCCTAGCTACGTCCTCAGAGTTACGATCTTGATTTTAATTACTTTGTGCCACCACCACTATGACTTAAATGTTGATGTGATATCCAACCAATGATGATTTAGCACTACATGCTATAAGTATCATTGTGAGACATAAAGGGTTGCTAGACACTGGAAAACTATATTTACGCCTCCATATCCCAAAATTTGGACATTGAAGTAACATGAGGCTGACCCGGAGAAATGAACTTGTGCCCTTGCCTACCTAGCATGCAGCATACTATTGGGTTGGTATTATAATAGAGTATATGCAAAATGAGGACTCAGCAGCATCTTCTCTCGTACACTCATGAACTTGAGAAATTTGAAAAATTAGTGTGTTATTTAGACCATTGGGAGTGTACTGCACAAGATATACCATAAATAAAATAGACTGCTCGTAATTTGGGCTGTTACCAAGCAGACCATATTACTGGCTAGAAGTTTATTCCTAAGAGAGGAGAAAAGAACATACACGGTATGTGTGTTCACGTGCGATGATTATTTTTAACAAGTCCATCTCATACAACTGGATGCGACACCATGCAACTCATCATCAGACCGGGATTTTTTTTATTGGGCTGTGGCAACCACAACAAGAGCTAGAACAATTGTGCATAAATAGGGGTAAAACTTGCTGGTGATTACTAGTGTTTAAATGGTCAAGGCCAGATTCAGCATCTCCCAACAGCAGCGAAGAGCTAGAGGTAACCTTAAGTGGAATTCTATCCTTCATTCGTCTTTCCTCAAGTGGATCACTTCCAACGGCTATTATATCATGGCGAAACAATTATATACACTGAAGTATATAAAAGTATCTGAAGCTCTGCTTACAAAGTTAAGAATTGATTTTGACATGAATAAAGACTGTGGTACCTTGATTTAGACAATGTTTAACCAAACCAAAAATTAGCAGGCCCAACAATTAAAATTCTACTTCATCCTTTATGATAAACGTGTAGTATAATTTCAATTAACGATAACTATTACGAGCTTGGACAATAAGTACAACGAAAAAGATAAACATCAAGGCTTGGAAAGTGCTCATATCTAGACTTGTGGACTCTGAAGCACACCCTAATCATTAGCTACATATCTTTCCAATCTTTCGAGGATGGCATAAGGTTAGAACTCTCCAACAGCATTGACACGCAATTTTGTTTCTAAAACAGTAAATACAACATAGAATACTTCTCAATCTCCAGTTGCACTCATTCATCCTGAGAGACTACGAACATGAACCAAAATTTTTAGGTATGCAACAGATTGCAATTTCAATAAAGTATCAGTAAAATTCTAGAAAGCAACAATTTAAAGAATAAATAATCCAGAAAACAGATAGGGATAGCAGTTCATGCATATATATTGTATCCATAACTGATTTTGGAATGAAAAGGATGTTCGTAACTCCTGCAGTGTTTTGCTTTTCATAGAAATTAGTAATAGAAACATTGTCAATTATGCACCTTGTTGCTCTTCCTATAACTTGACCATTTGCATAATCTTTAAGTATCCAATCACGTCTAGTTCCGATTCTCCCTTCCCCTTGACACCATGTCTCAATTTCAACCACATCACTCCTACGCCAAATGACAATATGTAAATTAGTATTAGTAAATAAGGGAAATTCAAAATAAAAAGAATTTGAAACTCAAACTCAAAATAACTACAGAAGAACAGACTCACCACGCTGGGTACTTGTAAATTTCAATGTGCATGCGTGCTGTTACCCATATGAGATGTAATTTCCTCATGGTGGGGGTTGTGGCGAAACCATCTGTGGAAAATCCAACACTCTGAGCATGGTTGCAACCAACCTCCTGCACGAAGAATTCATCATAGGCAAACTCTATTCATTTATAGTGTGAGATCTTTGAGTTATTATTATTGAACTTGATGCAATAATGATACAGTCTGAGTGAGATTCTAAAAGAGAACATAGAATTTAAGAAAGACGCATGTGAATGCACATGGGAGAGATGAGAGGATTTTGTCCGTTTCAGTTTTTGGAAGAAAAGAACACGTGCATCCATGAAATGCCGAAAAAACTACGGAACGGAATAAAGCAGAGAAAAATAAAGATAACCAAGTGGCAAAAAGTTGAACAAGTAAACATGCAGCACGACCGTTCATGTTCCTCAAAAACATCAATGGAACGTTCCAATTAATGAAGCAAAGAAATCCTACTAATAAATGAGCTAATTAACTGAGGCATGAGTAACATGTAATAGATCCAGAGAGTAACAAATCAGATGAAAGTGACCAAAATCGAAACAATTCCGACAAATTTACCTGCAACAGATTAGCAATAGTTTCAACAGTAGCGGTCTTGTTGATTCCAACCTCGTAACACCGCACTATGAATTTCTCCTTATAAGAAAATCCGTCTTCTGCCAAGCTTCCGAGCCGAAGCCGATCCGCCAAGCTACTAGAACCACTCAGAACACTGGCTTCACCTCTATCGGAAACAACAGCAGCCACAACCGGAGTTTTGGTCACCGGAGAACATACGGAGGCGAAATTTCGGCGGCGGAAGGAGGAGAAGAGGCGTGTAGGAGGTGTAAGGAGTCTACATTGGGAAAGAACATGGATTTGGTCAGTCACATTGCAAGGGACCTTCAACATAGCTGAGAGAGGATAAAGAAAGGAGTGGAACTGGACGTTGAACAGTTTCTCTCTCTAAAATCCCCTCTCTCTCTCTCTCTTCTTGATTTCGGGCTGGTTTTTTGTGGAAATACTGAGCGATGTCGATGGTACCGAGGAGATGTGAAAGTACGATAATACCCTTCTGTTTTTGACGAAATTACGAAATTGCTATTATTCTGAATTCTGGTTGGTTGTGCTGACGTCGCATCGCAATATGTTACATTTCCTTCATAAGATGCGCCAACTTCACCGACCGTTGGCCTACTTTGCTTTCTAAAATTTTAAAATATCTATTAGGTCGGGTTCATATCTTACTCGACCTACACGTTTCATTATAAAAATAGCTAAATACGAGCTCAGCTTCATAGTCAGAAGTCCACCGTGGAGGGGCGCAAAGGAAGAAGCATCACAGTATTAGAGACGAGAGGCAGTGCAACGCGCAGACCGTCGTCATACATTGACATCCCTAAATAGAACTCGTTCGGTTCTTTTTTTGAACGATCACACTGCAATTTTCTCAATCTACGAGGTTGTCATTTAGAAATCGTTATGCAAATACTTCTGTCATGTCTTAGAGGGTAGTCGTCGTGTCTAAGTTGGTCTGGAGGTTCATGTGTCGCTCGGTCGATTCCTAGGTTTAATCCTCGTATTCTCCTCCATCGATGGCTCAATTACAATTACAATTACATTAGGGGAGGTAGAAGTCTTCATAATCGACATTCAAATCATCGTCCAGATCCGTTGCAATCTTCAATCCCGTGTCAGTTGGAGTCTATGCTCTTGCCCTGATGCTCTATCTTCCCGTGTACGATGACTAGGTCATTGATCACGGAAATGATCTGTTACGGAGAGTGAGAGTAGATGTAGAATTCTTCACAATCGACATTCAAATCATCGTCCAGATCCGTTGCAATCTTCAGTGCCGTGTCAGTTGGAGTCTGTGCTCTTGCCCTGTTGCTCTATCTTCCCGTATACGACGACTAGGTCAGTAAATCACGAAAACAACTTGTTACCGAGAGTGAGAGTAGCTTCCATAGTTGACCTTACGGAGAATCTTTTAACCCATTTTAATTTTGGGGAATCGAGAATGCCCCCGAACCTCGTTTAGCTAACAGAGAGAAATTTCTTATTGCTTTTTCTTTATTTAAATGAGTATTCTCGAGGTGGAACGATTCTTTTTAGGGTTTCGAGTTAAATAATCTCGAGAGCCATCGAAGAACAACGATAAACTAAACAATTAGGGTCGAATCTTAAAAGTTTTAATGAATTAATTAAAAAAGGAAACGAATCAAATTGAAAACTTTTGTTTATCCTCAAATTTTTGTGTGTGGTTGCTTCAAGTTCTTGAGATCCACAAAAAAGCGAAACGAAATGGCCCATCGATCCATCAACCATTCACATAAACATTCCGCGCCTCCTTCACCGCTTTCTGCCGCAACTTTTCCATCAATCCCATAACCTTTTTTGCCCTTTTTCGACGGAATCTTATTCTCTGTGGCGCCATTTAAGCGCCATTCAAGCGCCATTCTCTATTCCCATAGCGATCTATCAACAACAAGATAAGAAGATCCTTGTGTACTTTGGTGGGCTGAGAGCTCATGAAGCAATCAGGATCTTAATAGTTTCTTAGAATTTCTCTTACACAAGCCCTTTACACTCACTTAGTTCATTCATTTTTCTTTGTTTCCCCTTTTATGGCTTGTTTTTTTTTTTTTTTTTTTTTTTTTT